TGAGTGTAGAGAGGTTGGGGGAAAATGCTCAATTTTAGCAAACTTAAATATGTATTATACTTATATGTATATTCTGTATCCTAGTTAGAATTCAATATGTAAATTAATAATCAAGCTATATTCTTCATTTAGACTAGTTTATAGTATTGTATAATCAGTTTTAGGGCTAGGAAAACTCATATACATGAAATATAGGGAAAACTCACATATTGTGTTGTATCTTGCTCAATTTTTGCTCATTTTACTTTATTTTTTCTGGAATATGAAAGATACTTCAAAAGTATAATTTTTACAACTTAGATCATGTAATTTGGTTAAGTATTAGTTGAGTTATAGTAGATTTTGTATTTGAGTGTACTTAGTGTGACGAAAATCACGAATCGCGCGTGTGACAATATTTATGAAAACGACAGTAAAATTTATTTTCAGATTCATTTATTACTTTACATAGATTGTGTATGAATTTTTTGAGGTTAGAGACTTACAATTGTGTTTAGAAATTGTTAAATTATAGCAAATAAGGGTGGTGACAGACACTTTTGGTAAGGGGGTGTATTTTTTACTGCATCACGCTTGTTAAAAGGAAAGCAGTATCTGATACGTGACGCCGAACAAGGCAACGTCACACTGTACAGTTTTGCTCAATGTCATCAAGGCTAGGGATGTAACGATATACCTTCTTGTAAGCCATCATGCACAATCAATGAATATCGAATGCTGAGACGTTGTTCGATTTCCTACGTCTCTTATCATTCGATCAGGAGATGACTTAGAATTTGGCATGCATCTCTTACATTTTCTGTGATGTTATACTGTACTTAATAACGCCATTGCTCAGGCAATGCTGATCAGATAGAGGGTTTGCAATTTCTGCCATCTTTCCCTAATTTCACGCCGAAAATTGGTGTACGCTCGGAGGCTTTAGGAGATAAAAAGATATCTACACATACGTGACACGAGTCTTCCATCCGGTGCTCCACGTATAACCAAGCCCATGTCATAGTGCCCCATTTGGAGGACTGCATCCTTGCAAGGCATGGTGGGCACCTACCTGTTCGTCGCCCATCCGTCTCTCATTACTCGTACCTTCACTTAGTAATGTAGAAATCTTCTACGGATTACTCGAAAACTACGAGGTACAGCCTTATGTATAGTTGCCGTGGTCCGGTTCTGGACCGGTCCACCCCTCCTTTACCTGGACTGTAACCCGGACCTCTTCATACGGTCCGGGTAAAGGAGGGACCTGGACCCGAACCTTTGTGGACCACTGTTGGACCGGACCTGAGGTCCAGTCCAGGTCCGGTCCAGGTATGACCTGGACCAGTAGAACTTATACTTACAGTCGACTCAAGAGTGCGTCCCACATGTGAGTAGAGGAGTTCAAGCATCCTACAACAAACAGTGTCTATTCTTTTTTTTGTAATATGTAGCTAGTGCTTTATACTAGACTATTTACAAAGAGAATGATAATGAGTTTTAAGAATTTCAATTGCTTCAAAAGTTCTAAGTCTCTTTTTTCTGCAGCAATAGCCTCCTTGTACTTGGAGGACAGAGCATTTCGACAAAGGTTACAGCATGAGCGGCTATCAGCAGTACTACCAGCAGAAGCACTCTTCTGTGCTTCCTGCAGGTCAGGTGGTAGTGAAACGATGTCATCACTTGGAGAATGCAGCCATTCCCTCTCTGAAGCGTCCTTGAGAGTACTGTCTGCACAGAGAGCAGGTCTTTCTGGGTACATAAGTGCAAGAAGAAAGCTTATGCAAAAAGAGTGCAAATTGTAGTTCAACCCAGTCCAAATATGTAAATTGTAATGCTACAGTACATTTTCCCACAGCTTCATAGCTAATTCTACTGTATTTTAATACTTATTTCTACTACTTTATGTATGTATCAAGTGAGGAGTGAACACCCTGAATTATATGTCAACTCAACTGGGTGTTCTTGTATTAAAATAGAAACATGGGTCCTGGGTCCAGTCCTCAGTCCTTAAGGTCCAGTCTGGTCCAGGAAAATACAGCATTTCCTGGACCTGGAACTGAACCTGTTCTGGACCTGATTGGACCGGACCTATTGTGACCCGGACCTCAGGTTCGGTCCTAGGGTCAACCTGGGTCCATTAGGTCCAGGACCAAACATCAGCAACTATAGCCTTATGTAGTGCTCCACACTGTAGCATAATTTACAGATACGCCTGCAGTGTATATGCTTACGCACCGTATTGTAAGAGAAAATTTTAGCTGAAAATACGGGTGTATATTTACACGCGTATGCATATACCATAAGTAAAAAATTTCCGTATATGCCGTATACGAGTATACGGTATTACTAAGCATATTCTCTAATTAAATACTAAGTTTGAGTTTCTAAACCTCATTTACTTTACTTATTTATATACCAAATCATTTTAATACTATATAACAACCTTGTTTAACTTAAAAAGTACTAGTATGAGTACTGCAGTTAGTATGGTTACTATGGTACATCACATGACGGTTTAGAGCTGTCATGTGATATTAACTCACAATGCTCAACTGTCTTATTTCTGTGTGTAAACAGTACTACAATACATTTTCTTAGCTCAGTAATATCAAGCATTTGTTTTGAAAGATGATAGTGTACTTTTATGAGCTATTTTAATGTAAAGTATCTTGTTATATTTGGCACAGCGTATACGCCGTATACACTGTATACGGTACGTCTACAACTACGGAAGTAGTGTATTGTATATGGGTCCTGCTGACCCAGTTTACGCCCGTAATTATACGCGCGTATGCGTATACGTGGGAAATTTTACGCGCGTAAGCGTATACGCTACGCGCGGAGCACTAGCCTTATGTTGGCCTTCACAATACCTTCGTATGTTTCTTACAAGCTGGTGACATCGCAGGTGCATAGTGTCAATGTTTTCATCGCACACTTCCATCCTGCATTCCGTGTCATCTTAGGAAGTGCGGGATTTGTTACACTGACAAGTAGAATTATGCTCATCCAGGGCGTGGCAGCTACTGTGGGTCATGATGAGATGGTGGAGGAGGCTTCTGAGTTTCATTATCTCCCAAGTTCGAATTTTTCCTTTGAAAACCCCAGATACAGCATATCTTCCATCTGGCGAGAATGCGACAGATGGGATACTGGCAAATGTCCACAAAGGGATTTCCCTGCATGTGTGCCAATCACAGTATCCCAGAGTCGTATTGTTTGTCGCCAGATGCGGAATGCAATGCATCTCCCACTTGGTGAGAATGCAACTGGGGTAACATTGCTTTTATATTCGTGAAGGGGTTTCCTGGCATGTGTATTTGTTATAGCAACTCAGAGTCGAATTGTGTTGTCTTCAGACCCGGACGCAATGTGACTCCCGTCTGATGAGAACACAAGTGTTTCGACTGGGCCGGTCTATAGGCTTGTATGCACGTTACACTATCTCGTCGTGAGAAGTACTTAATACACCATTAAAGTTTCGTAGCAATACTACATAGCCCTCCGAGTCTTTATTATATTTGATGAACCAATTTATACCGTCTACATAATTCATCTTACCGTGATCCAACGGATAGAATAAACCTAAGCTCGGGGGCCCATTGCTGTTTTTCGATGTTCCATTTACGTTGCAGTTCAAATGTAGACATTCGAGTCGATATCATCACATCACAGGCCTTAAATAGTGCATTGTGCGGCTAGCTAACCTTGACTTCATTTTATTACACTTTGCCTTCGTGAGCCTACCCAATGACACCGCGAACCCTCAGACCAGACATGTCGGATTGTGAGAGCCCAAGAATGCCTCCGAGAACCTCTTCATTATGCTGTCCAAGGTCTGGACCAGCCCATCTTGTCGGCATGTCGCATTCTAAGCGAGGAGTCACCCGATTGACGTCCAGTTCCCATCCTGCATCATCGACAGTGGCCTCTCCCTTTGTGTTACGGAACGGAACATGAATGCGCTCAATCATCCCGCGTTCGCGAATGTGTTCATTTTCCATAATTTCTTTCACGTTCAAAACCCGGCCCACGGGCACGTTCGCGTCGTTCATGATCTTGACGATTTCTTCGGATGTGCGCTGGCGGGTCCATTCAGAAATCGCCCCGTCCAGTTCGGCTTGACGGGGGACACGTTTGTGATTACCCGCATAGTCCGGCCCAATGAGGTCTGGTCTTCCGATGGCGTTCATAAAACGCTCGTAGATGGACTCGCCGTTGGCACCGATGAGGATGTATGAGAAAGGAACAGAGGTCGGGTATGCATTCGTTGGGACGATACCCGTGATACAGGAGCCAGATGGTCCGCGAATTACACCTTTGCGCGAGTATTCTGGGATAATTCCTTCCGTCATGTTCAAGATGCTTAGCATATAGTCAGTAGTCAAACGAGCTGTGCGCTAATTTTGAACCCACCTCTCCATAATACTGACATCAACAGTTTGGCCTCCGATCTTGCCATTTGATTTACGTTTTCCTCTGGATAACAAAGCAAGAACCTGATTTTAGATTTTAGCATGTGCAAGCTCTTCTCTAAGCTTGATATTTACTCACCGCGCCAAATGCGGCGTGTAACCCAGTTATCGAGTCTCCAAAGCTGATGTTCGGACGTACTGAAGGGCCAGCAAGCATACCATGTTCATCCGGAAACCCGTTGATATAACGGAAGCCTGCTTCGCCTTCGCACACCGAAGCGTAGCCTGGGCGTTGTGCCCACGGGCCGGTCTGGCCATATCCGCTGACGCGAGTGAAGATAAGGTCGGGATTGTGAGGGTGGATGTCGGATGGTCCGAGACCCCATTTCTCCAGAGCTGGATTCGAATTATGTGGTTAAACGACGTTTCAATGAAGAGGTGTGAAACGAGACTTACTTCCAGGCCTGAAGTTCTCCAAAAGGATGTCGCTTTTGATCGCAAGTTCCTTAACTAGTCTGGACACTCATTAGCATATTTCATTAGCCATGTGTACAAACAGAAAACTACATGCATACTTCTTGCCTTCATCCTTCCGCATATCAATAGTCACACTCTTCTTATTTCTCGAGATACTCCTGAACCATATACTAACTCCATCCATGTCTAACTCTCGCCAAACGCGTACGGGGTCTCCTGTCGTCGGCGGCTCGACTTTGATCACTTCAGCACCGAAATGACTAATCAGCGTTTATTATGAGCGTCGATAACTAAGTATAATGTATGGGAAGTGGGCGGCACGCACGCGAGTAGTTGTCCGGCGAAAGGTCCAGCGACGAGCTGACCTAGCTCCAGGACTCTGATCCCGGATAGTGGCAGTTCAGACAGAGATTGAGCATTGCTATCTTGTCTTGAATGACTTTCTCAGCTCAGAAACGTATGTATGTGAGCGATCGTATAAAGGCACCTTAAGAGAGGACTTGAGCTGAACGTCCGATGAATGCCTGTTCGCGCACGAAAGCATCCTTGCACCGTAGCGATGCGCGCACCAGCTTGCCAGATGGAAATCATGAAAGTCGTCGGCAAGTCGTCTGGGTGGGATATATTGTGCTAAACGAGAATCCCATAGTCATTGTTCTGGAAGAGAGAAGACTGTTACTCGTGATTATCTTATCTTTAGAAATCTAATCTAATCAGCACAAGTATTTTCTACTAGTACAAGGAAGAAATATTGGAGATTGACTTTTTAGTCTTTTTTTGCAACTATGTCCTTAGTAAAAATAAGGGGAAAGCAGATGTACACTGGAAAACAGCGGAAAAAGAATTCCTTTGAAAGCATATGATCAGAAAGCAGGATAGAGATAAAAGGGAAAGGAACCACAGACAAAGAAATGAGAATGAAGAGGGTTAGGGTGTAAGAGATGAAAGCCGTACAATCCGCACAAATCACAATTACTCGGAGTAGTTGGCAGGCAGAAAGAGATGACAATGCAACAAAAGGAACACAGTTTAAAATTCAAATACCGGGATTGTAGGCAGTGGAAAAGGAGGGAATACATAAATTGGTTTATCCGAAGTGGAACTCAGTTTAGCCTCGTCCTCAACAATATTCCATTGGGTAGCCAAGGATTCAGTCAGCCTGTCAACGGTCTCATCCAAGCTCATCCCAGGCTTGAGCCCGAGCGCGATGGAAACGTCCCGACGCACCAGTTGTGCCCGAACGGCACGGTGGTCGTAGCCCTCATCGTAATCCTCATCGATGACACGCACCGGCATTGCAGGAGTTTCTGCTGGCGTGCATAACTGAGTACTCGAAGTCGATGGTGTTGAGAAGCTTCCATCGGTCTTCGAGGTGGGCGAGTTTGATTCGCATGAACGATCAAACTCTTCTTCTCCGTCGCAGTTCATATATTCGCCAATCGTAGCTTGCGATTGTGACGTTTCGTTCTTGTTCTTTGATCGCAACTCTTTCATCATGGACAGCAAAATGTCGTAGCGTTGCTGCAATGAGCTATAATCACGGCGCAACGCATCATTCTCGGCTTTGAGAGCCGAGCAGCGACATTGTGTATCCCACTCCACGGCCATAGCGGACCTCGCATCTGCCAATGTGTCGCCAGAGCCGGCGATCGAGGAAGCTATTGCCCTTTCAAGGGATTCGACTGTGGATGGTGAGGAAGAGATCAGAAATTTAGAAGAACAGACATACTGTGTGGCATTTCGGAGAAGTCAGATATGTCTGGTTTGCCCATAGTTTTGCCGAATGGAGAAGACGGCGCATCTTGCAACTGCGATGTAACAGGAAACTTGTCGATACCTGACATGTACGAGGTCGGTAATGAGCTGGGCGAATGTTTAAGGCATAAGCCCGTTGTGTACTCACTCATAGCTGCGGCTAGAGGAAGTCTAGCATGCGGCTTGGTTTTTCTGACCGGGTTCTTGGGGTCTGTAACGAGTTATAAGGACAAATTATGGACAGTAGTTACTGAATGCCCATACAGCAAAAGTCGGGGAGTCCTTCGACGTCACCATCCGAAGGTACGTTTAAACCACTGCTTCGGCGCCGTGAAGCGGAGACTGTCCGACGTTTCTGCAATTTGTGCGTCTCAGCACCGGGTATAAGCACTGGAGCGCGTTTCTTTACGGGTGTGGAGGTAACGGAAATGTCTGTAGCATGACGGTCAAAATGAACCACCTTACGCTGTAGTAAACAATTGTGTGGTTAGCATTGCACCAAGAGCACACGGTGGATGAATTCCAATCCACCTGGTAAGGCCCTGGAATCCTCGACTTCTCACCGCGAATAGCGCCAGGCATGTTGGACTAAGTATAAGAGTAAGTATAAGAGGCACAAAGGGATTGGGTAGGATGTATTTAGGATTAGAGAGGAAGGGGAGGTGACTATCGGAGGTCAAGTTAGAAAGACGCAAGACACGCGAGAATTCCCGCTCTGGACGTGGCTCAAATCAAGTCACGCTCACGTTTCTCGCGATTGACTCACCTAGATTATACGTAATAATTTCCCGTGAGGCTACGCTGAGTTACAAGCATTTGGACTGGAGTGCACCGCAGGCCACAGTTGATTGCCTTTTGCGGCGGAGTCAAGGAGTTCGAGAATACGACAATCGATAAGTGTCGTAAAATTGCAATCACAAATGCCCTGTAGATGGAAAGGCCATCGGTCTTGTGTTGTTAAAAGGGTCAAAGGGTCGAGGAAGTTACCTTTTGACGGGAGCCTCTCGCTTGCACAGCCGTCCCATCCCACTCTCCATCAATCAGATAGCGTATATTATTTCCAAATTAGGCAATTGTGCGACCTCTTATTGTTCGTATTGTCCAGGAGAAAGGTTGAACTGGAAAGGCCCTAGCATTTTAGGAACATGCTTGAATGAGCCACGAAACACGCTGCAGTGCAAGCTTTTGTGTTTGTTCTGATAAGAAACAGCCAACTTTTTACTTTCGTTTTTTTTTCCTTCCGTAACCAGTCTTCCTCGCTCGACGCGAAGAGTTCTTGAACATAAAGCCGACAACAGGGTCTGGGACTCCTTATTGCTTTCAGGTAAACGCTTCTTTGTCGTAAGTATTTCATGTATAATCGAAGCGGTATAGAACTAACCTTCTGGGAAAACGCCTCAAGATAAATCATGCCGTCAACAAGGGCAGCCCGGACTCGTCGCTCAAAGCCTACATACGACGAAGGCCACGTATATGATCGGTATGCATCTAGTTTGAGTCAATGACAGTGCTTGACTGTAGCTCGTTCAGCTCAATGCAAGAGTCTTCACTTTGCCTACACGTTCCACGGTCAAATGTCGAAAGGTCGATCCGCGCTGACGCAGAAAGGACACCCTCTGGGACTCCAATACTACTTCCTCCCATCGAAATATCAACTTCAAGAAACACCAGCTTACATATCACAACGAGAAAGAAAACTTTCGGAGAAGTGCAAGTCTCTAGGGAAACCAATCCCAGGTACTCGAGTAGGTAGTTATTTCTTCAATCCTGACCTCACGGGTTCAACTTTGGGACAGGAAAAATCCGTAAGGCAAGAGATACCGCGATCCCTTATCCGAAGAATGAAAGTCAGGATAGTAAAACCTTGCGATGTCGTGCATCAGAGCAACCAGTGATTGACCGAGGATGTTTACGAGAAACCGTCGAAATGGAGGACGAAAAATTGCAGGCTTCAACCGTGGAGTTCGTCCAATACCTAAGTTCGGATAACACGAAGGAACTGTCTATTGCTCAAGCACGAATTGACGAATACCTGCATCAGCTGACGGAAGAGCGCAAATTCATGTTGGCAGAACTGAGCAGGGTGAAGGACACTGTCATGGAGCTCGGGCTTGAGTTGGGAGAAGTCAGACGATATCTCAGTTGCATGCCTCCTAGGTACCGGCGACGTGACGATCCACGAGGGAAGCCGTTTAAGGACTGGAGGCGCGATCCTTCCACGAAGGAGCATCTACCAGGGCGAATCGACACCGAACTCGCAAATCAATGGGCGGAAGAACTGAACAGAGCTACCGTTCCAATTAAACTGGAGAGTGGGACTCCTGCCTTTCGTTGCGCGGAAGGTAGCAGATACGAAAACGGCGAGGTTGTACGGATTTTCAAGGACGAATATCTACCAGATCCCCCAGTGTGGGATGATGATCATACGACCGTCAGAGCGGAAGAGCCGAGATTAGGAATAAAACGAGTACATGAGGAAGACACGGACGAAACTGACGAAAACGTGCCGCCGACGAAACGTCAACGACGTGAGCAAGGCTACTTTTCTGTGGTCCTCAATGATCGCAAAAGTACGAGAAACTTCGAAACCGGTAGTCATGCTCGGATATGACAGATGGGCCGCATCTGCAAGTACACGTCGCTCAGAGCGCCAGCGACACTTAACGATCGAGACTCGAGAGTACCAATGATGTCAATTGTCCATCCTACGGTGGCTCTTCGTAATAATAACCCAGACAAAGGACAATGATGGACTCGAGCAAGTACGATACTCATTAGAGTACGAGTGGAAACTCCCTAGTTTCCCACAGTGAGGATTACCACAGAGGTTTCCCACGAGGTAAACCTCACTACCACAAGGGTTGCCGGAAATTGGTCTGTGGAAAACTCAAATGTATTAGTCATACATAATATTATGTCAGTAGATAAATTAAGAAAAAATGCCTCAACCTGACAAAAAGCAAGGAAAATAGATAGTTTGAGAGTGCATATACTCTATGTCTGTCATTTTATTAGGTTAACATCTCCTATTTTGCTTGACATTCTTTCAGATACTCCTTCATTTGAAGGAGTACACTCTGATAAAACTGGAGAGGTACAAGTGATAGATATGGACAATATTTCCAGTACCTCTTCAGACAATTTACAAATTTTGAACAATAATAAAGCCTGTTCAATATAATCAATTGTCTCTTTCTTTTTATTTCTCTTAGATATATCTATTTATTATGTATGTTTCAACACTGGTAGACTATAAAACACAATAAAATTGCTCTCAGCAGTATAACCAATGTCTGAAATTAATATTGTACCTAAATTTTCAGCTCAATAGAGGTAAACAACACAAAATTCTTTAAAATTTCCTTTTTGGGACATTATAATGATATTACTAATATGCTGACTAAGTGTTGTCCACGCGAGGTTTACCACGCCTCCAGAGCCCCAGCAAAATGACCTGTGGAAAACTAGTTTCCCACATGCTCTCGGGAGTTTCCACTCGTACTCTAATACTCATGGTAATTGTTATTACATAATCTATGAAGAGAACGAGACAGTCATGATCACGTGAGCTAATTTTTGTACGTACGTGTGCCGACTCATCTTGGCTCTTGAGCCTCGACTATAAGCCTGCGCATACATCATACTCAGGTTGAATATCCTTGTTTCTTATGCTATATCAGCTTTGAATCTGCGTTTCTGATAAAGCTTTCTCTCTTCTGTGCTGTACATTTGGATATCGGAAGAAAACCCGGGCGCAGAAAGTCAAGAGCAGATAAACGCGAACGAATTTAAACGAGTTTCTTCCTAAGCTTAATTGGATCATGAGGAGCCTTTCTATTGCATCTACGCATTTCTGGGACGTACCTTCCTCAAATGTTAGCTCTTCGGGCTTCGACGTTGAACATAACTGCGCATATGTCCTATCCGAGAAAGAGGATGAAGCAGAGATCCTTCGGATTGAGCATTCAACTTCTGTAGAGGTTAGTTTTGCGCGTGTTGCATGAAATGGCATTACAATGGAAGTATTAGGATATCCCAGTTCCGATTGCCAGTTTCCCTCTCAATGGAAGAGTGGTATCCGCTAGATACTTGAACGAAGCACAATCTCTAGCGATCATAACTAAAGGAGGGGACATTGGATTGTTATCTGTTGAGGAAGAGTCAAACAACGTGAGTGAAGATAAGTATCTTGTCGGTCATTAACTAAAAGATAGTAGTTTGAAGTTATTGGTTCTATCGAAGCAGGAATTAGTACAGCTGGCTGGTGTCCTGACGAATCAATCGTAGTTGTCGTGACTGGTGACGAAAAGGTGTTGGTTATGACAACTAATTTCGATGTCCTCCTTGAGCAACCACTTCACTCAGACGACCCGGGAGAGGCTCAGCAGGTCAATGTCGGTTGGGGCTCTAAACAGACGCAGTTTCACGGTTCGCTCGGAAAGGCCGCGGCACAAGCTACTCCTGTTTCGCTTGCAAATATAGGTAGTAGCCCGGATGACGATGGTCTCTCGCGTGTATCATGGCGCGGAGACGGTGCCTTCTTCGTCATTTCTGCGCTCCGAACGCCACCTCAGGGATCGATCGATCGAACGCGTCGTGTGCTTCGTGTATATGACCGTCAAGGAGTTTTGCAAAATGTTGCGGAACCTGTTGCTGGGCTTGAACATGTATTGGACTGGCGACCTAGCGGGAACCTCATTTCTGGAACGCAGCGTTTCGGATTTGAGGGAGGCGGTGCTGGGAGAGAAGGTCGACATGACATTGTGTTCTTCGAGCGAAACGGACTGAGACACGGAGAGTTCTCGTTAAGGGAGCAAGGAAGCTATAAAGTGCGTGAATTGATGTGGAATGCCGAATCAGACATCCTTGCTGTGTGGCTCGAACGAGACGAAGGCGACATTGGTATGTCGAAACTGCTCTGATTTACATGACTTGGCTGAATAAAATATTTTCTATTAATAGTGCAGCTTTGGACCACTAGCAATTATCATTGGTGCGCACTCTACAGTTTGGCCTTTGACGGACCTAACCTGCCTCATAGGTATCTAAAGCAGGAGATCATCGCTCCAAAAGCCGACAATGGATCCGGAACGTTTACTTCAGTCACTTGGCATCCCGAAAACGGCACGCGTCTTCTCCTCACGACACGTCGTACGTATTTCATCGCGCATATCCTTGCAGCAATTAACAAACGTGCAAGAACGAGTTCTGGAATATGTTTTCGCTTGGGAAACGTTCATCTCACGAGCACAGGTGCCAAATGACACTGGGTCGGTAGCTGTTGTCGACGGAAGTAAGTATTTCTCTGTGCACGCTGTCTGATCTCATCAGGTTCTCTTGCAGCATCTCTATTAATAACGCCCTTCCGAACTCAAAACGTCCCGCCTCCTATGGCCTCCATTACTCTAGCACTAGGCCAGCCGCGCACGCCTGTGCATGTTTCCTTCTCCCCAACAGGCGACCATCTTGCGGTCTTGAACCACGGCGGATCCGTCTCACTATGGGATCTGCGTACACGTATGGAATTTGGTCGTGGAAAGGCTCTTGACCCAGTTCTTGTGTGCATATTCGATCTAGGGTCGGAGGTTTGCCAGCCGAGGCAAATATGTCTTCAAGAGAATCCTGCTGCACCGAAGACGTTCCGGATCTCTGTCCTAGCATGTGAATCTATTGCGGACGTAGCCTTTGTAGCTGTAGTTGCGGATAAAGTTTTCCAGGGACAAAAGGAGATTGAAATGCCAGGTAAAGACGGGCGGTTGGTATATTCGACAGCTGGAATCTATTGGCAGTCGTCGGAAGGAAAAATCTTCTCCGGTAAGTAATGAAGAGATAAATATTGGGCTGTGCCATTATCTGACTTGCAATAGTTTCTACATCAGGGGAAGGTGCTGCGCTCGTAACTGAGTTTCCGAATTTCTGCTTCACCGCGGAAGCCGTGTCGCTACCCGAAAGCTCTTCTCTGTTCATTGGCCGGACAGATTCTGGAAAACTCTACTGCACGTCTCCGAACGCAAACTCCCCGTATTTCCTTGCGCCAAACAGCTCGTCCATGGCTATATCTGCTGGGTTTGTCATATACACCACGACATCGCACGAGTCTTTCTTTGCACCGCTCGAGAATCTGCATGTTATTACAAGTACTGCGGTGATGAATGGATCGTCAGACGCCTCAACTCAACCACAGTCCCAATGGGAACACCGTCGTGTCGAGCGTGGTTCGCGTATCGTTACAGCTGTGCCGAGTAATATGAGCCTTGTGCTCCAGATGCCACGAGGAAATCTGGAAACGATCAATCCGCGACCAATGGTTCTCGTTGTGGTGAAGCAGGACATTGAAACGTAAGTACCTTGATCATCTTCTGTGAAAGCATTAAACAATTGAGCTTTACAGAAAGAACTACCGGAAGGCTTTCCTGGCGTGTCGAAAGCACAGAATCGATCTGTCTATCTTGGTTGAGCATGATCCAACAGCATTCTTAGAAAACGTATCATCGTTCGTGGAACAGATCGATGATGTTGATTATTTGAACCTCTTCCTCACTGGTCTCGGGTGAGTTCTTAGGACCGATTTGTACTTTACCCTGTTCCTCATAAACGATGCAATAATCCAGGCAGACATCCCTTGATTCAATGAAAATCACCGAATATTATGATGCACTGCGTGTGGAACTCGAGTCAAGAGATCTGACCAAATACGTCAACTCGATTCTGACTGTATATGTGGTGAAGAAACCCGCAGACTACGAGGCCGCTCTATCACTGCTTTTACGAATACGGGGTATGCATCCAATAGTCCTGACTGACCATAACCCATTTTGACTGTAGTATGTAGAAATTGATTCGGAACTCGTCGAAGAAGCCGTAAAATACGTCATTTTCCTAGTCGACGCTGATAGGCTGTTCGACACGGCATTAGGAATGTACGACTTCTCTCTGGTCCTCTTGATCGCTCAGCACTCTCAGCGGGTAGCGTAACCTCATAGTCTTATGGCTAAATAGATGACTGACTATGTGGCATAATTAGGATCCTCGGGAATATTTACCATTCCTCCGCGAGCTACGTGCTCTTCCAAAATTCTACCAACGGTATAGAATAGACGACCAGTTGAAGAGGAATCCAAAAGCATTAGAGAACCTAAATCTGGCTGGTCCGTTCCATTCCGTTAGTTCCGTTTGCGTCGTCGTTATTGACTCATTGTATGACCAGGTCCGGATTATTTTGACGAGGCTATTTTGTATATCGAGAAACATAGATTGTACACCAGCGCATTTCAACTATGGAAGAACGACGTGGAGCGACATAGGGTAAGCGTTCTTAGAAATGATTTGGAATGAATATTACGACTTACGACGTTCTTCGCAGCGGATACTTGACGTATACGGTGACTATCTCTTCGAGCGTCGCGAGTTTAGGCAAGCTGCCATCGGTAAGTAGAATGGCAATCGTTAGAAATAATTAGAGTAGTCGAAATTGGACTAATTCGATGTCAGTGTTCATTGAGGCTCGGAGTTCATCAAAAGCATTGGTTGCTTATGAGCGCGCACTCCTTTGGAGGGAGGCCTTGGAGCTGGCCATTCGTGTCGGTACTGACGAAACGTCACTCAATGAGCTCGCTCATCGATTGGCTGGTAAGTGCAGGTTCCTGCTTGTAAGCACCCGGCTTAATTAATTATTAATCACAGATGAGCTCCTATCAAAAAAGAAATTCGAGGAAGCAGCTCGCCTGCTCTTGGATCACGCGAAGAATCTGAGACTCTGTATCAATGCACTTGTACAGGGGAACATGTTCTCTGAAGCGCGTCGTATCGTGAGTTGCTGGGTATCTTTGACTATCGCACGCTGACACGAGTGCTTAGGTTGCTTTACACGGCGAACAAACACTCCTAGAGGAAATCGTTCAGCCTGCTCTCCTTGACAGTCGAACGCAATTTTCGGAAGACATAGAGGAGATGCGAACTCAGTTACGGAAACAAACAGAGCGATTACGTGAATTGCGAGTCAAGAAAACGGAAGAGCCCGGTACGTTACCTAGACAGTAATACATACTTGTTTCTAACCGATTGACCTCGACTAGACGCATTTTATGGTCTCGACGATGATCCAACTCTGCACAGCGTGGACGTGATGACAGATGTTTCGATGGCTCCGACAGCCTTCACGCGATACACCGTCGCTCCAACGACGGCATCCAAAGCATCAAAGTCAGTTAACGTATTTGCTTCTCATTACGGATTTCAAATCCTTATCTCCGTTGTTACAGGCGAACTTCTCGCTCAAAGCGTAAGATGGAACGCAAAGTGGGTTCGGGCCGGAAAGGTACAATTGACGAAGAAGAGTACCTCCTCAGATCAATCGGGAAGCTCGTTGTGCGCTTCGACGAAGTCCAGAGTGCGTTATTTAAAATTAAAGTAGTGACTTCTTGATATTTACTCCGCGATGTATGCCATTTTCAGACGATGCTGCGCAGATTCTCCCGCATCTCCTACAATTTTCGCCAGAACACCGAAATGAGGCTCATAGCCTCCAATCCGAACTCTCTGTCTTTCGGGCGGAGCTTCAGGTAGTCTTAAATGAAGCTTGGCCCGCTAAAAACGGTAATGCCACGGACGGTACAGGAGAGACGAACAGTTCGAGCTGGGCGGAGCGAATGGAGGAGAAAAAGAGAGAACGGACGCGAGCTGTTGAAAGCGTTGTGAAGCCCGAAATGGGAGTAAACGATATGAGCTGGAAGGTTGATATATTACATGTATAGGTGTGTCGGTTGTAGACACCTCTGAATCCTGATACTCTGGTACTTCATTTCCCATTTGCGGAATGTGATGAGGTATGCGTTTCATTTGGCTAACTTCCGTTATTAGAAGTGCTCTCAGTTTGGACTACGCGTTCTCGGCACGTGAGCTCTCGCCTCACATGTGTCATCTTCTTATCAATCCTACTAGAGATCTTCATATATATTTTTTGACGTGGTGAAATTTACCTGGTATTCCTTTACTATTCATTAGTAGCAAGAACAACTCTCTTCAAAGTGCAGCCGAAGCTAGGAGAGCTGTGAACTCGTTATGAGCATACACGTCTCAATGTGTAATATTAGGATTTGTAAATACTCGCTGCATCTCAAATTCTCAATCTCCTCAACTTTCCCAGGTGGGAACCACGTTTGTAAATTCACGTAGTAAATATATGCGAGCCTTAATAGGATTTAATACTAAGACTATGATTCTGCGTATTTAATTAATTTCTACACTTGATAGATATCTTAGACCTCGGTGAGATGAAGGTCATCTTTCGTCAGACTTTGTTCGATGTGATCTATTTATGAGTACCCTGGAACTAGTTGCAGCTGAAATTGACAGAACAATTTAAAAAAAAGTCCGAGTTAACCAATATCACGGAACGGATATCTTTTACATTGTGGGTCAAGGTCATGACTTCCCTTTGATTCAAAGTGGTTGCTTCATATGGTAATATACACTTTTAAAGACCTTCGGTTCCGGAAACTTCCGTTCCACCTGTCGTCTTGCAGGTCAGGACTCTGCACTGGTCAACGAGCAACCTAAAGGAACCACTCAGTCATTCATGCCCACGTCAGAATGTACAGCTCTGGTCATAAACCAGAAGATCTGCGCTCGAATCTCATAAGATCAGCTTCAGCAGGAATTGACCAGAAACGGATAGCAACTACTTTCGGGTCGCTCCCCTATAAGGATCGCACTAGTACTCGGGCAGCATGTAGCCTAGATCGACAACTTCGTACAGGCATAGCGGAACTTCACCATATAGTCACCTCTACTTATAATCGTGTGCATAGCCAGATGACTCGACGGCTACTGGATAATTCATCAAAGCAAATACGGTTTCCCTCCTAGTTCGGTTTTGCATAAAGGCATAACAGCATCCTTCAGTATGATGTTCTCCGCGCTACTCCGTCCACTCTGCCCATGGGAACATGCAAGAGAGTGACTCAAAGGAAATCGAAATACTATGGTCGACAGGCCCAGAAATGTGAGTTATGTCGATCATTTCGTCGTTCGCAGACTTATAGTGTTCTTTTCTCGAAGCCTTGCCTTGAAGGTCGGTGGTATAATCTCATGTTCAAAGAAAGACATTGAAATAAGGGGTCGGATTCAAGCAAGTGACTCTGGCGTTCTTTACAGTTCACGTATATGATCATATACTCACGTTGCCATTCGAGGTTAGGCAAAGTCTTTAATCTTATACGTTGTTGAATTACTGACACGATGGTAGATCGAGTATATGTGGAAAAGAAATTTCTCCCTCGGTTCTGTTATATTCTTTATAGTCTTATCTTTTTTGCATCTGATGCAGGTAACGCATGCTAAGCTCCATTCAGAACCGATATTATTCCCCCGCATTTTTCTTCATCATAACTTTTAGTAAGTGCGTTAACTACCGGGCTATGAGAGAGGTTGACGACAATGAACTCCATTAGCAAGAATAAGCCCCTTTATGAACCCAAAGGTAAGGAGCTAGCAAATGGTAGCTTTACTTATGCTAACATTGATACAGATGTGTGTATCTAGGCTTGTGACATGCAACAAGCTAATGCTGCTTAATAGATGCGAGCATTTTGCTATATTCTTGCCCATAGCAGGAGGAATTGTCCTCACAATTGTTCCTAATATGTTGGTTGCTTTGAGGCGCGTATACTACACTTCTGCTCTTCCAGCTCGATCCAACCTGTGAACGCAGAGTCTATGCATTATACCAGAAAAACAGAGTGGTACAAATATTTTTGGCGATTTATCTTGTTTCTGAACTCGGTATCGCACTATGGATATACCTAACGCCTGGACATCATCGTAAGCCGCACCCAATCCAACGCCGCAATGCTTTTAAGATAATCACACAGATGTGTAAATCTTTAGCTCTGGAACTGCCGCCACTATACCAGAATCACAAGGTCTTGTATTGTAAGACGCCAGAATGTCAGTTTTGCATGCCTAGTTCCCTAACGGTCTTTTTCTAGTGTGCACGGAAGATACCGCAGACAGTCTGTCAGCCTTCTTAAATATTCTCTCCATAAAAGGATGTTTGCTTATTCTTTAAAATCTTAGTGGACGTTGGAGACCGTCAACATTCCAGCTCATGCAGGTTGTCTACGATGTTATTGTCCTTATCTTAGTATTCTTCAAGACTAAGTGGCCACGGGAGTCGCGTCATGGTATTTTCGATATCATTTTTAATCAAGGTGTAATATATTTCATGTTAAGTACCCTTACGTTTCACGTTCTTAGCAATTAAGTACTAACAACTTCCTTTCAGATGTGTGTTTTCAGCCAATCTTGTATGGGTGTTAATGATATTGGTCGGTCCGGTAAGCTGACTCTATAGGATTATAGATCTTGCTTACAAGAGACGTTTCAGGAGACCTTAAAATATATAGCAGCATGGTAACTCCGATTTTCATCAGTTTCTATACGGAACTCGTGAAACTGACATATTTTCTTGCCTTGATATAGTCCTACTCTTGTGTACGGTTTTGTCGATATGTTTAATCGATACTAGACTGGCCAGCTTACTATTCACGAATTTACAGCATGGCATGCACTATGGCAAACAGGATCACATTAGACCTGCGTGAATATGCTCAACGGCCTGTTATAAACTCCAGTGTTAGTCTAGACTCACACGCCGACGCGAACGGACAATATACCGGACAATATACGATACATTTTAAAACGCCCCGTACGCCTCCGCCTCCACCGCCTGATCTCGAGAGTCAGCAGTCGCGAGCGGAATCAGACAGGTCGACTATTTATAATTCAGAAGATGAATATGATTTTCAAAGGCCACTCGAACCAACAACTTTACCTTTTTTTGACAAGCCTGTTGGCAGTGGTGTGAGGGACGGGTAGAATGAGGATGTTAAAGTGTTCTTGCTATAATTATTATGTACTCATGGTCTCATATTCTTCTCTTGCTTTGACGCCTGACACAGAGGGAATACATATTTAGAATGTAAATTAGTGGTTTTGTCAAGTATTGAAAATGCAAAATTGTAACATATACCTGCCTCTAGACATTGGATTTATCAAATTGATGTATCCATAGCTTGCCAGCTGTGCCAGTAGCCGTGTCATCCATTCTCTTATTGACAGTGCTTGCTTGTGCCTTCTTATGAAACACATAAGCTAGTGATTCGAACAGAACACTGTCTTTGACGTAGGTAGTGATTTTGCAAGCCATGCAGGTAGGCCAATATAAAGTGCTACACAAATGATACACGGCTTTAGATACTCATATTACGATAAATGCCATATGGTTAAACATCGGTTCCGAGCTAATTCCAAAAACAAGCAACTTTATGTCTTGGTATTATCTGTTAATCGGGAACCCATGCGATAGCTCGAATCGGCGATCCATCACAGCCTACAACAATAATTTTGTATCAGAATCAATTTGGGCAAAACATGCATCTGTAGTTATACCCACCCGTTAATGAAAGAGGCAATAAACTAACGTGTAAACCTTCTTTGGGAAGTGACTCCAAATTCGTGAGGTTCTCCACAATCATTGCACCAGCTCCAAGGATCGTTTCGTGCACACCAAAATCGGAACCTTCGCCTTCCGTGAAGGTCTCGTCTGGATTTAGTGTATCAACACCAAGGACTCGGACACCCATGTCAAGGAGTTTTCGTGCTGCTTCCCTATCGAGGAAGGGATGGTCGAGGTAGAGTGGAGTCTTCCAGTGTTTTGGCCAATCGGTTCGGATTAGGACTATTCGATGGCCTTGGATAAGTGTGTTCGCGCCCACCTTGATGAGGTGGTCCCACGTTATGCGTTCTCGTGGTTTCCTGTCGAGTACGTCCAGTACAACCGCAGGTCCAACCAAAAGAGAAATATCAATCGCGTCAACGCTTATCCCATCCTCAAAGAAATGACATGGCGCGTCGATATGTGTCCCGCTGTGCGAGCCGAGTGACAGACCGGTAACAGCAAATCCGTCGTTCTGGACAGTGGTATGCTTATGGAAGCAGACAGATGGGTCACCTGGGTAGATCTGGGTATTCGAGTCCAGTTTGTGGGAGAGGTCGTAGATGCGCATTTTTGGTAGACTTGGATGATCGTTGATGACGAATTGGTTGACGACATTCTGCTGTCAATGTATGCTGTCACGTGCAGCAGTTCGCCCCCTCTCAGTATTTGTTGTAAGGGAACAAAAGATCCTTTAGTAGCCAATATTAATCCTTTGTCTTAAGGGACATGTCACTTCAATTCACGACAACAAGCTGTCGTACAGTCCTGTAAAAAGGCGCCAGGAAACTGTTGAATTAATAGCCTTGTATATTGCAAAACAGAACGTCTCTGAGCCATCTCGAAGTATTATCATGTTCATGAGTTTCGAAAGGTGAAAAGAGAACAATGTCGTACTTACTTGTGGCTATGAAGCAATGAGCAAAACGTAACACAGGTTTGTCATTATCGTTTCGTCTATAATTCTACGCTCTAATGGCTCTTCAACCATCGCTCGACGACACGTTCGTTCGGGCATGCACTCGAGTCTCCCTTTCTACCAGTAGTTTTGTACATATTCCGACAGCACTCGTAGAGAGCCCTGACGTAGGTGTCACATTTTTCTGGGGAGTAAGTGTTTTTGTTGAGGCACGACTGGAGGCTGCAGGCTAAGTGGCATTAGTCAAGGTAACCAAGCAAAATTAAATAGCTTAAGGAGCAGTTACCTTCATCCTGACAGGGAGGTTCTTGTTTCGAGCCTTGGGCCATGGCAGTGGACAAGTGGTGAAGTAAAGTGTTGTTTCAAATTCAAGGCAGGAGCGCATTTTGTTGAGAAGACATCACGTGGACAATCAGGTCATGTAACTTCCCTCCTTCTTTGTATGCTATCCACAAGCTGACTACTAACGACGGAAGGCAGAAACCAACCAAATGTACTCACTAACAGACCTCCCGTATGACGCTATTCGTCTAGTTGCCGCCTTTCTTCTGCCTTATGATGTTATTGCCCTGAGTAGGGTACGTAAAGGTGCCGTGTCCTGAATCCTGATGAACGATTCTGACCCGGACTATCCGATATTCCAGACTTGCCATACCTTGAACGCCCTCCAGTATGAGAGGGCGGTGTGGATGCAGGTCGCAGAGAGCGTGTCTCTCTCGCGACCTCTTCCGTTCACTGCCACGCAAGCCCTGGACGTTCCCATAGAACGACTAATCGAGGCATGCCTACGAGCCGAACGTATCGCGAAACGATGGGCAGAGCCGCAAATTCACTCCCGCAAGCAGCCTGTTAAGATCAGCTTCCCAGATAAACGCATTGTCACTTATTTCACGTTTCTTCCGGGTTCTCGCCACTTGATGGTTTACGACTTGCACAATGTTCTAAGCTGCTGGACCGCGGAGGGACAACTTCTGCAAACGTGGCGCGTCAATCATGGCGCAAAGCTGACGCGATGGAAGCCTTGCGATGAATCAGAGAGTAGCTATGACTTTAAAGGCCGGCGCGAGCAGGCTGTGGAGATAATGATCGAAATGCAACAGTACGTAGCTTCTTTCATATAAAGATAGTCGGCAGTGCTTGATACATTCAGTTCTAGGCATTCTGGCTCGACTCATTGCGAGATAATCCTACTAATATATTCTGACACGCACGCAAAGTTTGAACAAGTCAATTCTTTTAAGATCCCACGCGTCTACGAACCATTTTCGGCGATGACTCAAGACGAACTTTGTGGAAGTCTTGTTGGCATATCACACATGTCACGAGAGCGAGTTGGAATATACCTTTCGGATAAGAATACCAAAAGGGCTGTTTGCATCGATACTAGCCTAAACCTGGTTCTTGATTGCGTCCCTCAGGCGTTGCTGTCATCCACGCATATGGTCCTGTACTGGGAGACGCTGACCGCTGCACATGCTGTGACGTACGAAATGGATGTTTTACGATCAATACTTGCCAGAGAGGGAAGTGATGATGTCGAATCATCACTTCGAACACCCGTCCCTTTGACACCGTCAGACGTGCGAGTCATTCCCTTCCGTACCGTATCTGCTCCACTCGCAGGACCCAGCACATCCTCTGGAGCAATGCACATGTGTAGTAGATGCGGTAACCACATAGAAAACCCTTCACCGAGTACGGATCTGTCAAGGAACCGCGACGCATACCCTGTGATCATTCCGAAGTGGCATACATTGCGGGAAGATCTACGAAGGCATCGGACACGCTCGGTGCTTACGTTTTCTCGTCGGCCGAATGCGACGGCGGTGCCAACATCAGCTCAGGCATTGGCACTCTACATCAATGGTCACAACCACGATTTATTAAACGTGCACCAGCATTTCCATGAAGGTGGTGAGGGTGATGGGTCTGGACCTGCCGGAAATGAAGGCCAAGCACTTGCTGAGGGCAATCAAAATGGCTTTCCAGTCATCGATCCTGAAGATTTCTACTTCTCAAGATCTTCGAATCTTCCTCGGACGACTATCACGCATCACTATTTTGACTATGTGGGTGCAAGCTCTGGGTCAGGCCAGCCTGAAATAATTCGAACTGTGCTTGCCGAAGCTCCATTGCGCCGACCACAGAACCTTCGAATACCTCGACATCATCTGAATCCGTTCGTTATGGGTGATGGAGTCAATGATGAGGAGGATGAAGTGGAATTTGAGGGAGACGTAGAGCTCGAGGGCTTCGGTATCCAGCATATTGGAGGAGACGAGGAAGACGAGGAAGATGAGGAAGATGAAGAAGATGATGGTTTTGAAGATGATGGTGCTGGTGCTGTCCAACTGGAGGCTTTAGGCGTCTATGACTTCGGTGCGGAGGATGATGAAGATTTTGCGGCGGAGAATGAAGAGAATGGATTGTTCGCTCATACTAACGAGAATACTAACGGGAATGCTGACGAGAGCCACGGACACGAGCATATTGATGAACATGCGCCCGAACACGAACACGAACACGACCAGGAGCAAGGACAGCTCGAACAGAATAACGCTGCGGCCTGGGGTGACCAAGGAGCGAACTTTTACGACCAGCTCGAAGCACTCGAGAATGGTCTTGCGAACTTCGGACTAGGATTGGAGCTCGGAGAACTTCACGGCGGTGTCGACGGTATACCACTTCACATGCATATGAACGCACCTCACGCCCCAGGCCAATTTGGCGGAGTGGACATAGTTGATCTCACTGCAGATGCAGCTCAAGCGCTTGAGGAATTTGTTCAGGATCCATTTGGCGGAAGTCCTGTCATGGGCTACGGCGGACGTTGTGCGATGTGGGTGGAAGAGCACCCGAAAAAGTATAGACCGAATGGACGTGCACCCGTCCTGCGTGTTGCAACGTTCCCATCGTTTGAGCCAGTATTCAACGATACGTTGCCGAGTGAAGAAGCTGCAAAATATAGGAAGACGTTTAGTGGAGTGCCGATACACCCCGAACTTGAGGTTGCACGTGGACGAGTAGCTACGCTCCATTTACCCGGAAACGTCTCGCTAGAGAGCGCATATACGTTTGATTTGGATGATGTACGAGGAGTTGTGGGGATTGCGACCTCGTTTGGAGAGGTCTGGCTGGTAGACTTCTCTTAGGTCCGTTGATGAAATTTGTTGTCATGTACTGATCTAGACTTTTCTTTATTTTATTGGTTCTTGGACTAGCACTGCGGAACATGTGTGTTCATGTACGTTTCTTCTGTATTAAATAGACGTTTGCAGCTTGTTGTGTTTGCTTTGCTTTGATCCATCGTGTTGGAATATAATCTATCTGCACATACATCTGTCTCGAATATTTTAGTACTTCTACTAGATGGAAATAACGTCATCAACTAATCCTCATCCCAATTACCGGCTTGCTGCGGTATTTTCGGCCCACCAGCAGGTTTGCTCATAATGATGCTGTCGACAGAAAGCACGGACACAGCAGCCTCCGTGGCAAGGCGAATAGCCCAACTCTTCGCAGCGAGGGAGTCGACGATCCCAGCAGCCTGAGCATCCAAAATACCATCTTCATCCTCGGCATCAATGTTCACACCGAAAGTCGCTCCACCTTCTTGATGTCTCGCCCATAACGCACTGATGACTTCGTTCCCTTCCGCTCCACCACGAGCGTTCTCAGCCAATGTGCGTGGGATGACTTCGAGCGCGGATGCGTAGCGTTTTGCTGCATGTTGACTGAGCGAGGTGAGCGAGGAACCGTATGCCTCTACACGTCGTGCGAGTTCTAGTTCGGTTGCGCCGGCACCGGGTACGAGGCGTGGGTCACGAAGTAGGGATTTGAGAACGGAGACACCATCGTCGACTGCTCGTTCCAGATCATCCAGAGCATTCTGCGTCGCGCCGCGTAGAACAATCGTCGCTGTACGCGTTTTCTCCCCACCTCCATGTTCATCAGTTTCTTGTCGGAGTACGGTTACGCGATCTCCACCGATCTCCGTCACCTCGAACACGTCAACAAATCCAGCCTCTTCAGGCGTTGGCGGGCCCATACGAGCAAGAGGGGTTGCGTTGACGACGCGGCAGAGTCTTCGAAGGTCGAATTTGCTGAGAACTTTGAGAACGGCGATACCTAGACGGTCGAGGAAGTGCATTGCGAGTTCGCCGACGGTTGACCCTGCGATGATGACCTTGACACCGGAGTCTGCGATCTCTTTGAAGACCTATAGAGGAGTTAAATAAAGTGAGAATTAAGATTAGGACATAAAAAAGGGAAATTTATACAGACCTTTTCCATGTGTTTCTCTTCCCCACTCGTGAAGTTCAGCATCTCCTCCGCATTGTGCAATAACACTGTCCCTTTCGTCTCCGTCTGTGCGATATCGAGCCCAGATGTGAATACCGCGACTTTCCCTTTCGTCACGCGTTTGATAGAACCTTCTGGTTCACGATTGAACACCATCCCGCGTACGACTTTGCTGCCCACTAAACTGCCTCCCATGATTTTTACAACACGTACGTTGTCAACGTTGAAGTTTTTCGGGTTCTGCGGCATCACGACAAGCGCAGCTTCCGCAACCAGGGATGCCAGGGTATCTTCTGAGCCATACTGTTTTGAAGCAATTGCAGGCTTGAGAGCGTTTGTAAGTGCGGCGTGTGTTAATGGTGAGGGTAAGGAAGAAGTGGATAAGGCTATGACGCATTGAGAACAAAACTGACTGGAGCTGTGTAAAAGTACATACTTTCAAGTTCTTCAAGAGCCTTCTTTCCTGCAAGCTCATATCCCACTGTCACTTCACTTGGATGCAACCCCATGACTAACAGATGTTCTGCTACTTTTAGTAGTTCACCGGCGAGAATTAAGACGAGGTTGGTTGCGTCACCCATCTGTACGATTAGTGCGGGCGTCAGTAGGTCCATGATCGAATTATAGTAACTACATGCGGACCTCCGTCTCCTGTGCTTCAGATGCCATAACGAGAAGCTTAGCAGCGGGGTGAACGACCTCGATTTCTCGGATGATTGTCGCAGCATCGGATGTGACGAATAATTTGCCCAAATGGTTGACGATGAGTTTATTCCGGCCTATCCAACGTTAAAGAATATCGTTAATATAAGATATGTATTTGTAAAAGATAGAGTTAACGTGCCATTAGGACCAAAACTCGTCCGTACGAGATCAGAAAGCTCAGCGACGGCTTGGATGTTACGCAGCACTGCGTCTTCTAACCCTTGAAGGTGCTATTGAACCTTTTTGTTAGATTGACCAGCTTGATCACAGAAAGTGCATAATCCCACCTTATACCCTTCCTTGAATAGCTGTACATTGTTTGCTTTTGGTACTTTTAATGACATTTCTCCTACGTCGTCGCAGTCGTGATTAGTACAGTGCAAGTTTTGAAGCGCGTAGACGACCTAGCGAAGGTTCGCATGATTTCCAAGTTCGGACGATCGACACTCATGACATAATTGATGACTAACGTCGGAACGTTGGAATGACTGAAAAGTTGAAATCTCTTCTAGAGTACGAGTGGAAACTGGCCAGTTTGCCACACTGAAATTATCCACGTGGGTTACTGTTGAGAGGGAGAACTTAAGGGGGGCACGCATAGACAAGGGGTGAGGTGACGATTGACTGCTCAGTGTCTCTTGTCCTTATATTGTATGTATTCTAACTGAGACATTATGAAGTCATTGTCTCGTGGTTTGTCCGTTGATGAACTAATCATCTCATAATACTCCCCTTCAAACTCTTACTAGTCTGAGTAAACTGGTAAGATGTTTGACTTGTGGTACATGTAGCACTTTAGTTAATATATCTGCTTGTTGATTGTTTGTCTGTATGTATTTCACATTTATGTACTCTAACTCAATGTAGCATTTAATAAAATCTTTCTTATGATCTAAATGCTTTGTTTGTTCCAAATATTTGAGTTTGTCCAATGTAACTGTTTGTATAACAGCATTGTTATTGCAAAAGATATTAATTGGTGCATCAGAGACCTGTAGAATCTCTTCAGCTAAATGTGTAAGTGTGATTGCTTCCTGTGTTCCTCTTGCAAGAGCTATTAATTCAGCTTCATACATTGAATTTGCCACCAGTGTTGTCTTTTACTTGTACCAC